TTGAAATGCACATAGATAATTAATAGACACAAGTGATTCGCATTGGAATGTTGTACTATTTTCTTCGATAAACTTTTTTGTGGTAAAAAAAGGTTCATTGAAGCCATCGAGGTCTTTATAATACCATCTGGAAGGAATCAAACAGATATGAAATTTTGCAGCACTGGTCGCAAGCATAATTCGAAAATAATGCCTGCAAATTATGCCTTGTTGAATAATAGATAGACATGTACAAATATGTGAATAATTCTTTAATAAAACTATATAATATTTCATAGCCATTATATCGCCAACTGCAACAGACCATATTTCAGTAATGTTGGTTAACCCTTCAACAAAATCAATAACCTGTTTTGGTGTAATTTGTTGTATTTCCACATTTGTCATGTCACGAATATTAGCTTCATGATCATCAGTATAACATTTTTAATTTAAAATTCAAATATGTTAATACATACTGTATTATAATAGAACATATACAAATATAATTAAATAGATACTTCTAAATCTTTATTTTGAAGTATAGATGTATCATAATAAACCGATTGGCTTATTTTGTTTCTTTGTCTTTGAAGCATTATAGATATGAAAAATTTTTCTAAATATCCATCTATTGTTTTAAATAAGAAGTTCGTCTTGTCTTTATTTTTAATACAAGGAATTGAAAGCTTCCAGAAATTGTATTCCTCCTTCTTATCTTGCATATCCAGAAGTCGATGAATTTCATTCATTAATTCACATAAGGAGACATTTGAATTATGTAAGAGACGTTTTAAACTTGCATTAACTGATTCTACTCGTGAAGTCACGATCATTCCTCTAGTAAACTTGAAGCTTATAAAGCTATACGCCCAATAAGTTTTGGTTCGATAAAGCACATCCAGGTAAGAACTAGCAGTGAGGAAATCTTGACGAAGATTTTCAAACTGTTTTTCAAAAACTTCAATCATAAGGCTATTTTGGCATATATAAAATACCTCAAGGAACTTATAAAAATTATCACCCAGAATCTTTCTTAGATGCTTATTGATATTTTGTGTTATATGGAAAGTACAATGAACTGGATATGCTTGAGGAAAAACCCGATGAATTGCAGAATCAACTGCAGGGTCAGCATCGGTCATCATTACTGCAGGTTGCTTGTTAGTTGCTTTTAGTATTTCATTAAACACCCAAATGTGTGACTCTAAACTCTCATTGGGAAGCAGTACTTGCGCAAGAACAATATTATGCCGATAATTACTGAATTCTACAAACAATGACAACACCATATCATAACGGTTAGTTTTATGTATTATATCATTTAAAACACAATCAGAAAATCGGATCCAGTTTTTGACTTGTTCAGGGGTCATCCATAA